ATGATGAATGCAATGTTGCAGGAATCAGGGTTGCCCCAGAACCTGTGGGGGGAAGCGCTGCTTACCACTAATTATATCCTCAACAAAATTCCACACAAAGTAACTGCAAAACTCCATATGAATTATGGAAAGGTAATTTACCATCGTATAAATACCTTAAAGTGTGGGGGTGCTTGGCAAAAGTTGTGGTACCACCACCAAAAAAGGTCACTATTGGACCTAAAACAGTGGATTGCATCTTCATCGGATATGCACATAACAGTAGTGCTTATCGATTTCTGGTACATAAATCTGAAATATCAGATATTCATGAAAACACAGTAATGAAATCAAGAAATGCATCTTTCTTCGAAAATATTTTCCCATGTAAGGAAAAACAAGGTTCAAAACGAACTCGAGAAGAAAGAGACAACGACAATGTTTCAGAAACTGAGACAAACGTCGAGATTTCTACAAATGATATTTCAGAAAATGAAAAAGATGAACCTAGAAGAAGCAAAAGAGCTCGAAAGGAAAAATCTTTTGGAGAAGATTTTCTAATGGCATTTCTAGTAGAAGATGTTCCAAAAACTTTGGCAGAGGCCATGGCTTCACCAGAAGCTCCGTTTTGGAACGAAGCTGTCAGAAGTGAATTTGATTCTATCATGAAAAATTATACATGGTACATAACAGATTTACCACCTGGCTGCAAAGCATTAGGAAATAAATGGATAATGACACGAAAACCTGGTGGAAAATACAAAGCTAGGCTTGTAGTTCAAGGATTCCGACAGAAGGAAGGCCATGACTATTTTGATACATATTATCCAGGAACGAGAATAACATCAATAAGACTGATGATAGCAATCGCAGCCTTAAGAGACCTAGAAATCCATCAAATGGATGTAAAAACCGTTTTTCTAAATGGTGATTTAGAAGAGGAAATTTACATGAAACAACCTGAAGGGTTTGTCATTCCAGGACAGGAAGGAAAAGTATGCCGACTAGTAAATCACTTTATGGGCTTAAACAAGCTCTTAAACAATGGCACGAAAAATTTGACAGTACAATGATGTCAAATGGTTTCAAAATTAAAGAATGTGACAAATGCATATACTACAAAACTACCAAAAATGGGTATGTTTTGTTATGTCTATATGTAGATGATATGCTCATTATTGGAAGCAATAAAGACATTATCAATCAAACAAAGAACATGCTCAAAGGGAAATTTGAGATGAAAGACTTGGGAGTAGCAGATGTAATTCTCGGAGTTAAAGTCACAAGAAATTCAA